AGCGTTCTCTGGGATGGAAAGATAGGAGAGTCGGGGCAGGGTGCTGCAACGAGGCTGGAATTAGAGCCTTATAGTTCAGTCTTTGCCAAGGAGCAGAGGTGAGGCTGCTGGGTTTCCTTGTGATCGGACTCCAAAAGAAGAGGAATGAGAATAAATGAAGAGCTGCCTCACCTGAAAATGCCCACTGGCTTGTTCTTTACCATCTAACATGGGGTTTCTACCAGCAAGCAGCAGTGTAGCTAGCAAAGTCCTTAAAGACTTTTGGCATGGTACTTAGGTGCGGCCAACTCATGTCGATCCGGGACTAGAAATAAGCTATTTTACCCTTTTGAGTGCAGCTTATGATCATGGCGACTGGAAATGGTAAAATATAATTTTCAGACCTATAATGTCTTATTCAGAATGCTACATACGAGCGCAGGATTTGCCTAGCCCTTTGGTAAGATCCTGGAAGGCTCTTTTTAGAAAATAAAGTGCAAGGTAAGATGGCTTGACCTGCCAGCATCGTTTTTAACTCTGATCACTCTTGGAAAATGAGTCACAAAGAATATATACCTTTACTTACAGTAGATATGCCTGAAACACATAAAGCATACTGGAACTATTGCAGTACTGTATAAAACAAACCACAGAGTTTCTTCTGCAAAGGCGTCATGAAAATTATATTTTTCTCTGTGAAATACTTTAGCTAAAATATTTTTTGCCCCTCTTTTCAGATTTTTTTTCTGTGAAATATTTTAGTGGGGGGGGGGGTTGGGAGAAAATAAAATCCCCAAGCCTGAAATTTCTTTTAGTAGTTTAACCATCCAGGCTTGCAAAAAATTCAGGTGGGCTGGCAAAAACATTTTGCTTAACTGAAAGTTTGCACCTAATGAGTAAAAACTTTAGTTTTGACTGCCAAAACAAAAAAGAAGACGGCGTTTTTGTTTTCTTTTGAAGAAATATATACAAAAAAATAAAAAAGACACAAAGATTTCCATTTTTATGAAAGGCTTTTTTTTTATTGGGGGAAATAGTTTGAGGGGAAAATGTTGATTGGGTGCAGTCAGCTGATTTTTAACTCCCAACACGCACCAAAATGCCAGAATATTTATTTAACGTGTTAGAGCGAAAAATGAACATCAACCCCATTAATGCCATGCATCGCGACGCTCTGTTTCAGTGGGCGCTTGTCTCATCTTTCCCTGTCGGGGAGGGAGCAGTATTCTTTTGGGGAGCGAGTAACGCGCCGCTCAGCTGGGAGGTGCCTGAGTAAAAGAGCAGTTTAAGGAAGAAGAGAACGATTTCATAGTACATTTATTCCAAGACAGCCACCTTTCTATAATTGCCCTGCAACACTTTTTATGTGTCATCCTGAGCTAGAACTGGCATTTGACAAATCTCACCCTTTCTGAAATCACATTATATTTGATCCTGCTGGATGTCATGCACCGCTAAAAGCCAACAGATGTCAGAGCAATAGACATGAAACCCAGCCTAGACCTCCTGCTAGGAAATAGGTCCTGTATAGAGGACCAAGAGCCGCCTTTTACACCGGGGAGAGGAGAGCTGCTGTCTTCAGCTAGAAGGCAGAGCCCTCGGAGCAAAACAGACCGGCCCTCGACTACTGACCGCCTTCGTGTTTCACTTATTAATCGCGGTGTGCAGAAGAGACACGGCGACTTTCATCAGGGCACGGACTCCGTAGAAAACATGGCTCAAATCCCTCACTGTGCACCAATAAATCCTCCCTTTTTTTTTTCCTTCCGCAGCAAAGACTCAGAGAGTCAAGATTAGGAGACTTATTTGCTTGGATGGGCGTGTGTGGCTTTGCGGCCAGCACGCGTGTTTACATGGAAACACAAAGTCATGCACGCATGTAAAAGCTCTCTCATTAAATACTGAGGAGGCCTGTAGCATGGAGATCTCGATGCGAGGAAGCACGGCGATCAGCCGGAGCGCGAGGTGTATGAATACAGACCTCACATAAAGCTTTGCTTTTCAGAAGTACTGAGTGAGCCTTATGAAAGCAGCCCAGGGCATGCTCAGATAGAGCTGCTGTGATTTTATCGCCGGCAGATGAAAGAAGAACGGCGGCGGCAGCGTTCCTGCTGTTAGAGCAACACATCCTGCAGCCCCGCGCTGCGAGAACTAGTCCTCAAGGCAAAAGGATCAAAGGGGATGCTGCCAGCTCCCGAGTCCCGGGCCCGGAGCTTCCTAAAGTCGCTGTTAAAGAACAGAAGGTGCCATCCCGGTTTCCCAGAAATCAGGGCAATGGGGTGAGGGCACAGCGCACACAACAGCTGGGTTAAAACCCCTGGGGGGTTGTTTTCCATCACTTATTTCATCACTGATTCTGCAGAATTATCAGCACCCTTGGCAAGAAGGAAATATAAGCCCCCGCTTGTCAAAGCATCCAAGCACGCAAGTTTGTCCTCCTTCAGCCAGTGGCTTGCCTTTGGTGGGGTTTACGCCAGTGCTGATATGCTTTGCTAAACAGGCGACAGGCTAGCACCCCCTCCGAGGTAAGCCTATCCTCGCGTGCATGGCTGAAGCGGGGCTGGAGGTTGCACGTTATGTAGGGACCAAACCTCTGGATGTGCTCTACGGTCCAGTGCCCTGCTCTGCCTTTTCTTCAGGGCTGGGTCAGCTTATCTCTGCCGTTTGGTACCATCCATTGGCCTTCCTATATAAGCTGCCCCACACCACACTAAACGCACGATGCAGCCTCTGTCCTGGGACGGCGCTGTCTACCGCTGAAAGTCATTTCATCAAAGGACTTCTCTTGCAACCATCATAGGGCACATGGGACAGTATAAGCCAGGCAGGGACTGCCTTTATTGGTATGTGTGGCTGTCTGCACTGTCCTCGTTACTCTTGTTTGCTGGGCCCACGCTCCGTGCTTATGTACACGCAAGTATAAAAACTAATGCAAGTACTGGATCACCATAGATCCAACCCTGGAAATATTCGCTCCTAGGGTACGGGTTTCCTAAGGGAGGTCCTGGCTGCTCTTCAGAGTGGGGTGGCCAGGGGCAGCAGCACACAGCCGGCTGTGGGGGAGACGAGCAGTGCCTGCAGGCTTACCCATCTGATAAAACACACCACCAGGATTTGAACTCTGCTGCAGGCTCAACAGTCTCCACTGACCGTAACCCTTCGTGTAAGGGGGCAAACATCTACTTTTTCAACATCTTTCCATGTTGCCCTGTGGGTGCAGGTCAACGCTCAGGATCTCAGTATCACACAGTTAGACAGGAATGTGTGGTGTACAGTTGCACATATACACACAAAAATCAGTTGGGCACACACACACAGTCTAGGTGCATACACCCCCACCAGGCGCGCCCATGCATATCTATCACCAATTCAAGCACATACACGCTCTAACGATAATGACACGAAATCATACACAATACACACATACAGATACATATACATACAGGTTAAACACTGACTCAGGTGACAGTATGTGTGTGTGTCTGTGCCTGTGGTACCTATGCTTGGGGTGCTTGGTAACTAAAGAGCAAGTGGCAGAGATCAGGGGAAAAGACAGTGGGGATGGGGCAATAGCAGTGGCAGAGATCAGGGGACAAGGCAGTGGGGATGGGGCAATAGCAAAGAAACAGGGGTTTGCAGGCAGAGAGGAGCTCAGGACGGCTGGAGCCACAGGGCATGGGGCAGGTGTCGGAGGTGGCTGTGAGCCAGAAGCAGGAGAGGGAGAAATGAGACAGAAGTGAGAGGGGCGAGGAGGAGCAGAGATTAGAGCAGGGCTGGAACCGTAATAAAGCAAAACCCAACTCAGGGGTCCAAACAACAGTTTTATTAAATGATCACTGTGCTGTACAGCTTGGTTCCCACACACACTCATGCAAGCACTCCCACACACGCTCACACAATGGCAGCAGGAGAAAGGGACTCAGTGGAAGGGCTGGAGTCCAGGGAGGGAAGAGAAGCAGAGTCCAAGTCCTTGGCTGAAGAGAGGGGGGGGGGGACAGCTACCTATCCAGGCTGGGGGGGGGTCCTCGATGGCCAGTTGGGGTCTTTCTCCAGCAGGTGTTGTCCAGAGGGGGTTGCCGGCAGGGCCTCTGTGTGGATAGGCAGCGTGACGTGGAGCAGGTCTGCTCCAGGTGAAGATGGTGTCCCAAGGAGTCAGTCTTCACTACCCCTTTTTATGGGGCAGACTACCTGTGATCTCCTATGGGGAGGGCCTGTCCAGGCAAGGTCAGCCCTGTTCCAGAGGTTTCCAGATGTTCATACTGCGCATGTGCAGCCTTGGCACCACGGTGGGTTGCCTCGTCTGTCTTTTGTGTCTTGAATGCGGAGGGTGGTTCCAAGGGCTGGGTCGTTGGTCCAGGTATTGGTTTTGATGGTGGGGTGATTTAGTAGGGGGTCCCGCTATCATTGTATTTCACTCATCCATTCACTCCTTTGTTTCAGGCATTCAAGGAAAACCAATTTACATGGGAGAGGTTACAGAATTGCAGCATACTTACACAACAGGGCACAGGGACAAGATGGGAACAAGATGGGAATGGATACTTGACGTCACTTTACAGACACAGGCCTAAACCATACAATATTAATATGAAACAATAAAAATCAATGAACAAATGATAGGAATACAATATAATACAATATAAAACAGTAAAAATCAATACAAACATAACAGAACACTATTTACAATGTATAAAAAAGGGGCTTATTACAATAACAGTGTACAAGAACTTAGCTTACTTAGTACTACTTGTAATCACTTCTAAGGGATAGAGAGGGCAGAGAGAGAGTCAGAAATGGTTGGGGAAGAGGAGGGAATGTATTTTTAAATTAAAAAAAGAAAAAACTGGGGTTTTGCTACAACCGCAGTGAGGTATGCATCCACTGACCGGGGAGAAATGAGTCTGGTGTCTAAATGTAAAGGCCTTTTTTGTGTGCAAAGCTGGTTTGTGTGCTCAGGGTGGCGAGAAGGAGGATGGTGGGATCAATTGTTCAGCAATAACAGTTTAACTGGGTTTTGGCAGGTGCAATGGATACAACAGCAGGAAGTGAAGAGACGAGTTAAGAGGCACGTGCAAAGTGACCCACACCTCCCAGACTTCAGTGACCCCATGTGGCCGAGTATGTGGTACTTGGTGAGTAGCGTGGATGGACTTTTCCTCCTAGGCAGGTACTTATTTGTTTGACAGAGGCATTACACGGGGTTTATTTAATGGGCTGTTTCATTTGCTGAGCCTGGTTGATAATGAAACCTATTCATTGACACAAACACAGAAGATAATGTGTTTCAGAGCCGTATTTTAAAACTATAAATTCATATACCCCAGGATACAGGAGGAGGTAGGTTTAAATTCTTTGCTGTAATTAGCTGTCCCTTACAGCCATCATTTTATCACAAGCGCGAGGAAGAAACACGGAGCAGCAGACGAGTGCAAATTCATGTCATTGTAAAAAGGCTGAAACTGTTTATTTGCAATAACACCATTTTTTTTTTTTTGGTTCATTGAGCGGGTTTTGGCAGGGAGAGTCCTTCATAATAATGGCATGTAATAGAAACGCTGCTTCCTATTCAAAGTTGAAGAACCACTTCTGAAATAGAAGAACCAAAGAGTGCACTGCAGATTCCTGTTCCCTTCGTTAATCGGGTCTGCTTTTATAATCACACAGGTATAACAACTGTACAAACTGGTTGGTCAGCTGTGGAAGGCAACAGTCAGTTGTCTGAGTGCTTTCACAGCATCTCACCTCTGCAGGTGGTACGAGACTTTGGCTTCCCGGGATGCCGGCCTATTAGTGCTGATGCTTTGCTGTTTCCATCTTTAGCACTGCGGGGACACGAGCAGTCGCTGCAGGTCAGACATGAACATCCTAGGAGCCTGGCACAGAGGCTACACCGGTAAGAATGTCGTCGTGACCATCCTTGACGATGGCATCGAGAAAAATCACCCGGATCTCGTACAAAACTATGTAAGTACGGACTGATTTGGGATGTCATATCCAAAGCGGAAGAGTGATGTTTTCTTATTTGCAAAATGGAAGCAGAGGGGTTTTTTTGAGTAGCTTGATTTCTGAAGACCT